AACTGTATTAATAAAAATTAACAACTTTTTAAAAAATGTACCAAAACCGATCATTATTGTATTAAATTCACTCTATGACTACATTTTATACTGTTAAAAACTTAAATGAACAAATATGAACCTGAACCAGTAAGAAAAAAATCGAAAATATTATTTTTATGTACTATTTAGATGAACGCTTGGTCTGCAGTTATAATGACAATTATCGTTTTAATAAATAAACAAACATATCCCTCATGTTCCTCATAAATTTTTGTTTATTTATTCAAGATAATATGTTCTTTCAACCTTTCTTAAATATTACTCAACTTAAGTAAGCTTAAAAAAAAAAAAATACACAGGAAAATTGAAAATACAACTAATTATATAAGTGGTCTAAAACATATTCACAGTACTGTATATATATATATATATATATATATATATATATATATATATATATATATATATATATATATATATATATATATATATATATATATATATATATATATATATATATATATATATATATATATATATATATATATATATATATATATATATATATATATATATATATATATATATATATATATAGATATATATATATATATATAGATATAGATATATAGATATATATACAAAATAAAAAATCAAAAAAAATTAACAGTTTTGTACATTTGGGGCAAATCGGGGGTATTTCAGGACACAAAATCTAAATACTAAACCAAAAAAACTCTATTAATTATTCTAGCGTATGTAGTAAATAAGTGGGACAAATTTCAAATCTTTTTGATAATTAGTTTTGAAAATATCTCCGTCGCCAGCTTAAAAAACATGAATTTTAGAAAAAAAGCGATTTAAAAAAATTAAATAAATAAGATATATCAAGATATATTCACCACTTTTATATGTTACACCTTCCAATGTTTCGTTTTGGTCACAAAAACCTTTATGTATTGCTTTCAACTTCTTATCTTGATTTTGCTATAGGTTTATATTTTTCTTCAGCTTTAACGACTCGTTTAGTGTCCTTATGTATACAATAAATTTGCGCATTTACATCAAATGTCATTCCAAGTTCAATAAACAACTTATCTAAAAATTGTTGTCCATCATTAAAATTTAGCACAGCTGATGCTACTCCAATACTTAAAGCAGTTCTTTCAATAAATACATCTTTTAGACATCGCTTCCTTATTAACTGATTTAATGACTCATTGGGATTTTGCGTTTTACCGTGTAAACATTTTTCAAGAAGTTTATCAGAACCAAAGTCTATAAATATTAGTTTGATAGCATCACAGACAGCTGCAGTAATATTTTTTTTTTATATGTCATTTTCCCAGTCAGTTTGTAAGCCTAGAACTTGCACTACGAATCTTTAGTGCGCAAACAAAACTGATGACGTGATTTCACAATCACAATTTTCAGACCAGTAAAAAAGTGCAGCTGCAATACTCTTTTTCATTCCATATAAACTTCCAACGTTTTGCCTTAATGCCTTGCCATAATAGTTAAAATATTTTCAGTCCAGCGATATTTTTTTCTTAAATTTTTTAGGCGAGTACCAACGTTTTTAATATATGCCCATCCAATGCCGGCGCGATGGGGGTGGGGTGGGGTGGCAGGGATTTGACACCCTCTATCAATGATTTTTAGTCGACAAATTTGACCCTTTTTGACTAGTTAGTCGGCAAATATAGACTCTTTTGACTAGTTAGTCGGCAAATACAGACCCATTCGACAAGTAATGGCACCACCCCCCCACCCCCACCCCCACACGTGACACCTACTCGCGCTGGCCCTGTGCCCAATACATTCTGCTTTTTTTATTTCTATTATATCTCCATAAGATTTTACAGTAACAACACTAACATATGAACTGTAATCTCCATCACCTAAAAATGTTGTATATCTTAAATTGTTTTTTTTTTTCAGAACGCAAAAATATTTTTATTACACCACTTGATTCCATAGAAGAAGTTGAACCAGTACGACTGATTTTAGATTTTTGATAATGTAAGGAATAAACGTCATTATATTCTTCAGGATGTGTGTATTTCTTTAAGTTCCATATTAAACACAACTTGCAAGTTTTCGTTTCTATTTCATAGTCAATACATTTGCCATTTTGTACTGCAACAGCTGTTACTACTCTATTGTTTGAGGTGAATCCACGTTTCTGCCATGATCCATCAAACCCACATATAATATCCTAAGGTTGTAGTTCTTCAGCTGAATTTTTTTTGCTAAAGTTTAGCTTTTATCAGCTAAACTTTGATAAACATCTAACAGTATGTCTAATGTATAACTATTATAAATGATTATAATGTAGCTGGATAGCTCAGTTGGTTAGAGCGTAGAACAAAAAGTTTTTAACTATTATAATTATGTATTAACTATGAACCATTATAAATATTTTTATTCATTGGTGAATGCATATTCATAATTCCACAAA